TAATCCACATTCCATATTTTAGGATTATCTTTTGGAAAATAATATCTATCATATTCTCAAAGAAATCCTTTACCAATAAAAGCATAATTATAAAAACACTACAAGGCCCCAAATGATGTCTCCTAAGTCCCTGTCCAACTTTGTTTCATACCTGTTTCACTTCCACTCTCTGTACTCAAGTCATATGGTTCAGAGAGATTTTCACATGGTTTCAGACAGATGCATCTAAACAACAATTTCTATATAGATTGAACGTTATGCCACTAGTAATCTGGCTTTCTCAACTCAAATGCAGATAAGAAGAGAAAAAACTCTTTCAGAGCATGACATAATTTTACTTGCTTTATTTGTATTACAAATTCATATGGACATCTTAATAATTCTCACTAACCTTCTTTAATTTTCAAAGAATAACTTAAAATGACAAAAACAAAGCAAACCTTAATTTCTCACAAATGTTAAAAATCAGTGTAGCTGAAAGACATGCTTCGAACGGATAGGTGTGTGCATGTGTCCCTGTCTAGTCCTCTAATCTCTTTGAGTTTGAACGTTATCTCCTATAAAATACTGGTATCATTACCAACTTCAGAGGTATAACAACCTTGAGATATTCAATATTGAGTATAGCATAAAATGAACCTCTTTAATTTCTCTCTCCTTCCTTCTTTCTCCCACCTCCGCTCTCTCCAGTACCCTTTTCCTTACTTTCCTTCCAATCTCCTTGTCTCCTAACATATAACAGGAACTCAGCAAAAATAATTTTCTTCATATTGCGATTTAATGACATTGAATGGTCAAACGAACAGAATAACATCTTATAATTTTAATTTGGAATGGATAGTCTGATGATATGCAAAGACAAACACTAACATCCACTTTGAGTGTTACCTAATATCACTGTTTTACTGGAACAATTGTAGTTTCATTGACAAAGGTATTTATTAGACCAAGTTCTTATCTTTCCCATTTTGAAGAATATTGATGTAAAGTGACCTCCTACTAAGAAATGCTACTTATAATTCTCAAATATATTTTAAATTTAAGTACTTTTCCTTTTGTAGTGTGTTAACAATTATCATTAAAGAACAGAGATTCTAAATTCAGAGACAAAGAATTGTAGTTAATCAGACTAAATAAAACTGCCTTTAAACAGTGAATTTGCCAAAATGGGTTTTTGCTTATCATTTTGTATTCAATTTTATAAGTAAATGATATATTTCAACACCTTCACACTCTTAGAGCTTTAATGATATATTCATTGTAGAATAAAAAGTCCTTTTAGACATTTTATTACCGTTCAAATTACAGATCTTATCCTACCATCAGGGCCAAAGTGTTAATAAAACTATCTCAGGGACCTACGTGGAACATTTTTAAGGGCAGTGAGACAACAAATTACCCACAGTTCAAATGTGATTTCCCAATGGCCAGGTCTATACCACTCCATCATTCTATTGATGTGTAGCACAGATGGTAATGTATGTTGATGGATGAGGCCATAGCAGCTGTAGTGTTTGCTTAGTACTGCTAAACCCTTAGCTGAATGACCTATTAAACATGCTGACCCAGGGCAATTGGAAAGTCATCAGTAACTACAGTTAAATGAAGGATCCTCTAACATGTTCTCAAGATATTCTTTTTTCTTATGGCTTTGACTTGTAGTTCCTAAGAATCATTCATCCAAAGCTCAGTTTGGGGAGAGAAGGAACAAAGAGAGAGATTAGAAGAATACATGCAAATAAAATAATTTAAAATATAAAAGTTATAAAGTGACCCAAACAAAATTTTTAGGAGGTAACAGGTATTAAAATTCTCATTTAATAAAAAGGGAGAGAACGTTCCAACATGGGAAGCGGGATACACAGCAGACCCATAGAATGGCAGATGTCCTAAACAGCACTCTGGCCTCAGAATCAGCCCTTAAGGCATTCGGATCTGGCTGAAAAGCCCATGAGAGTATTTCAGGCATGGAAAGCCAAAACACTCTGGGGAAAAAAAAAATCTACATGAAAGATCTCTGCGAGTGAGTTCCCAGTGAAAAGAACAGGTCATCAAAGAAGGAGGTACCTTTCTCTGAAGGGAGGAGAGAACTTCCACTTTGACCATGGCCTTGTCTAAAAATTATCATAGTCAGTGAACTAAGGGGGCTTCCATACCCTTGGCAACTAATGATAAGAGCCTAGGGTGATTACTGATGCCATAAACAAGAGTGTCAATTTGTTAAGTCAACAACAGGAGTCACTGTGCACTTACTCCTCATGTAGGATCTTTGTCCTTAGTGTGTTGTACATTGAGATTTAATGCTATAACTAGTACTCAAACAGTATTTTTCACTTTATGTTTCTGTGTGGGAGCAAACTGTTGAAATCTTTACTTAATGTATGCTAAACTGATCTTCTGTATATAAAGAGAATTGAAAATGAATCTTGATGTGAATGGAAGGGGAGAGGGACTGGGAAAGGGGAGGGTTGCGAGTGGGAGGGACGTTATGGGGGGGGGAAACCATTGTAATCCATAAGCTGTACTTTGGAAATTTATATTCATTAAATAAAAGTTAAAAAAAAAATAGAAGCTGAAGGATACGGAGGACCATGTTTCTAAATATTTGAAAAAGTATCACATGTTACTTTCAAAGAACAGAATATGAGACAAGAAGTAGAGCCTATAAGGTGATACAGGTGATGCATTTAAAATTCAGTGTATGGAAGATTATTCTAAAACAACTGATCAAAGTTGCAATGAAATGGTACTGAATAAAAGATGAATTATAATGCTGCCAATCAATAAAGGTATTAAGAAATTAAAGATTACAAATATATTATGCCATGAATTAAATAATTTGAAGATATTTTCTCTTTATTTAGTACTTTCAAGGATAATGCAAAATGTTCTTGGAAAAATGAAAAAAAATATAAGATGTTCCAGTGCAAAAAAAGTCCACATATAGTTTTTCATAATACAAATTTCCAGGAACTTATTAAAGACTTTATGTATAAAGAATGAATCTTTTAACATGAAAAATATTAAATTTTTGGCTTTGTATAGTTGTTGGCAATAAAATGACAAACAGAAAATGACAAATGCCAGTTCATTGTCTTTGTGTACAAATCATCAAGGAACATTTGCTTGTGGACAAATAAACCATAATACTGAAAAAGAATTGCTACAGATTTGTCTTATTAATGCTGACAGACTATTAATGCAAGAAGGAGCTACGGAATCTTTATCGCCTATCAGAAAAACAGAACTGTTTAAAGCCAATTTCTTTATTCCCTGTTTTTTTTTTTTTTCACTTCAGTGTTAACACTCACATTGAAACATAAGAAAATTGGTAAAGGACAGGTTCATATGTTGCATGAAACTAACTGGAACATCACTCCTGCCAACAAGGGATGGATTTTAGATGAAATGTGTGCCATCTGTGAAAAAAGAATCTCACTCAATATAATTTTTATGAAAGATGTGTGGTCTCATATCAAAATAGCCCCATCAATCTATTGCCATCAGATCAGACAGAAAAAGAATTAGGTACATAAAATGCCTGTCATAAACTGTATCCAAGAAGCTATGTTTGCTCTCTGAAGGTCAGTTAAGTATTTGGAAAATAAAGGAAGTTATTTTTTAAAAATAATACTCAAATCTTAATAACAAGTGAGTTATACTTCTACCTTGGATAGAAATATTAAGAAAGATACAGTAATTATTGAGGTTTTCATGATCCTTTAAATCAATTGCCTCTTGAGAAAAGATGCATGACATAACTTTTTAAAGGTATGGAATGAAAGAAGCTTACCTACCACTGATGATTCCCAGTGTTCCCAACCCAGGAGAGAATGTCATTCATGCAGTCAAAACTATGGTGTTATCATACTCATTGTAACAGTAAACTTTATGTGCCTACTGGACTGTGCCATGGGTGATCAGACATTTGACCAAATATTAGTCTGCCTATTTGTATGAAGAAGTTTTTGGATGAGATTAACATTTGCCTCATTATACTGAGTAAGCAAATGGCTCTCTCAAATATAGGTGGGCCTCATCCAATCAGTTGGAGAGCTGAAAACAAAAGCCCAGAAGGAAACTCTGCCTTCAGGCTTGGACTGAAACACTGCCTCTTCTTGGGTCTTGATCCTTCTGGATTGCCTACTAGAACTTAAAACCAACAGCTCATGTTTCTCAGGCTGTTGGATTTGCTCTAGGACGGGAACACTGACTGTCTAGCCTGCCAGTTATAGATTTAGTGACTTCTCAGGCTTCTTGATTATGTGAACTATATCCTTTTAATAAATGTTATTCATATGTGTGTGAACATATATATAAATGTATATGTGTATTTCTAAATGATATAGGTATATGCATGTATAATTTTTGGTTTTATTTTTCTGGAGAACTTTAATACATGGAATCTGCAATGACTGATAGGGAATGAGTTGAGTTGTACCAGTAAAGTGAATTATGCATATCATAAGGTCAATCCTTATGGAAGTTAATGTTTTAGAACTCCATCTGGTAACAATGTAGATCACTAAGGGAGGAAATACTAGCATCTTTTCAACATAAAACAATATGCTACATATAATGCTTGAAAAATTAGCTCTGAAAACAATTCCTCACTTTCAAACCACAAATTCTTTAATTCTAATTATAAACTATAGTTATTTAGCCATTCTCAAAATCAACTTCAAAAGCAATTGCAGTGAGTTTGGTGTGTGTTCACTTCTCAAGGGAATTATTCAAGAATTTAAGAATGTATTTCATTCCCTTAAAGTCTTCTTTTGAGGACTTAAGGACTCATCATTCCATGTGTTGAGTCCTATTATCATTAAGTAGCACACAGTATATTTCCTTATTTTGTATGATTTTTTTTCCAGGCACTGGAACTTTATATCTAAGCTCTTCTTCCACTCTACAGATTAAACTTCCAAAACATCTCTCCTTATGCATCACAAGACACCCTAGAATGTTTCCAACTCCATGTGAAATTTCTCATTGCCACTCACCTGCCCAGAAGTAGAAATTCTCCTGCCAGACCCAGGCGCCTCATGGCCATCAGCAGACCTCTCACTGTCATGCCCTCACAGAAGCAAGCCACCACCCGGGCCTTAGGCAAGTGACTTGTGAGCTTCTTCAGCAGTTTATCAAAACTCTGCTCCCCTGCGTTGCTGTAGATTTTGTAGGAGTGGGCGATGCAAATCCCTTCCTTGGCTGACATATCTTTGAAAGCCTCCATCCCACTTTCTCCATAGTTGCCTGTGTGAAAACATAGATAAGCAGAAGGATAGTGAAATGAAAGTGCTGCATTAATTGGGTAAAATCAGAACGTAGAAGTGTTGGGAGCATGGTGTTGGAAGATGAAGACATGAATTTGAGCTTTTATTCTTTCATTAATTTTTCACTATGGGTGATTGGCAATTTAATTAATTATACTTAAGCATTAATATTTATATTCATACCAAGACAGGAATGATAATATAAAAAGTACAAACAATTTTCATTCAAAAACTCTCTTGATTCTAAACATGTTTATTCAAAAAAGCTTCTATTGTAAGTGTGAGATGATGGAACATTTTTATATGCTAGGATATATTTTCATTCTATTTCTCTCTGCTTTTCATTGTATGATCATTCCATTTCACTGCTATGCTTTTGTTATAATTCGTCTCCCACAGGTCTGTGTGTCAGAAGCCGGGTTCCCACTGTGACTGAGTTGAAGTGGTGGTACCTTTAAGAGGTGAGGCTTAGTGGAAGGTGATTAGATCACAAAGACTCCACCATTATGAATGGATTAATGCAGGTTGTGGGGGAGTGGATTCATTGCCTGAAAGAGTGAGCTTGGCTCCTCCCTGCTGTCTTACTTCCTTGTTTGTGCACCTGCCTTTTTGACAGGCAGCTGGTTCCCTTTCAGTTTTTCTGCCATCTTGTAGAGCAGCCAGACAATAGAGTGATGCAGTTTGGATTCTCTAGTCACCAGAATTATGAGCCAAATAAACGTTTTCTTATATTACTCAGGACCTCGTATTCTCTTACAAGGACAGAAACTTAACTTAGGGTACATATCTAAGAGATCTTTAGAAAGTACATGGAAAATGGATTTTATAAGAATTACCAAAGGATTTCAATTTTTGGCATCAAAATAAACATTGTAACTCCATTGTTCCATGAGCTTTTTAAGTACTCTAATATGTAATGCATATGCTTTATATAGTATAGATGTTGTAATAAAGTTTTTTGTGAAATATTGTTTTATATATAATTATCTATATATTATCTATTAATAATCTTAAAGTTTATGGGGTGATCTCTACCAAAAAATCCAGATCCTTGACCAAAATTTACACTCATTATAGATAACTGTGTAACATTATGAAAAAAATTAAAATTTCATCTATGCAACCATAGGGGAGTTAGTGATATGTGGGGATAATTCCAAAGTCCTTTGAAAAATTTGGGGCCTAAGGACTAGTGGTTTTTTAAAAATTATATATATGTATATATGTATGTATGTATGAATTGATTTCTTTATTTGAAAGGCCTAGAGTTACACACTCAGAGAAAGAGATCTTCCATGTGCTGGTCCACTCCCTAATGCCTGCAATGTCTGGAGCTGAGCCAGCCCAAAGCAGGAGATTCTTCCTTGTATCCTATGTGAGTGCAGTGGCCCAAGTACTTGGGTCATTTTCTGCTGCTTTCCCAGGCACATTAGCAGGAAGCTGGACTGGAAGTGAAGCAGGGGGCTGGCGCCATGGTGCAGTAGGTTAATCCTTCACTTGAGTTGCCAGCATCCCATATAGGCAGCAGTTCTAGTTCTGGCTGCCCCTTTTCCATTCCAGCTCTCTGCTATGGCTTAGGAAAGCAGTAGAAGATGGCCCATGTGCTTGGGCCTCTGAACCCATGTGGGAGACTGGGAAGAAACACCTGGCTCCTGGCTTCAGATCAGCGCAGCTCCAGCCGTTGCAGCCATCTGGGGAGTAAACCAACAGAAGGAAAACCTTTCTCTCTCTTTCCCTCTCACTCTCTGTAACTCTACCTCTCAAATAAATAAATAAAAATCTTAAAAAAAAAAGGAAGTGAAGCAGCAGAGACTCCAACCGACATCCATATAGGATGCCAATGTTGCAGGTGACAACTTTACTTGCTAGGTCCCAGGACTAATGGTGGCCTTTTAAAATTAAAATAATATTGCCAGGAATATACACCAGGAAGTGTTCAGGACTTTTGTGTACACAATCTCATTTAACTTTCACAAGAACATATTATGATGGGCATTATAACTCCATTTCATAGACAAGAAAACAAATGAGGCGTTAGGTCCACATTTGCTCAAAGTTCCAGGAGGAGTAAGTGGAAGGCTTATCTCTATGCACAGATACAGTGGTGCCCCATCTCTTCTTCCATGGCTATGCCATAGGAGTCTCTGAAGTCCAATTATATGTGCACTTCTCTTTCCACTTGAAAGGTCATCATTCTTGAATTTTAGATATTTTTGAGCATTTTAAGGCTTTAAATGTGTGAGCCCCATAGTTAAAATGGTTCTCATACAGAAATCAACAAACAATAAATGCTGGTGAGGATGTGGGGGAAGATGTATCCTAATCTGTTGGTGGAAATGTAAACTAGTAAAGTCATTGTGGAAGACAGTATGGAGATACCTCAAAAATCTGAAAATGGACATGCCATGTGACCTATTCCAGTCCTAGGAATTTATCCAAGGGAAATGAAATCAGCATATGAAAGAGTGATCTGTACGCCCTGTTTATTGCAGCTCAATTTACAATATCTAAGATATGGAATCAACTGAAATGTCCAACATTTGATGCCTGGATAAAAAAATTATGGTTTTTATACCCTACAGAATATTACTCCTGTCTTTCTCAAGAAAATAGATGCAACTGAAAACCATTATATTTAATGAAACAAGCCAGTCCCAAAAAGACAAATACCATATGTTTTCCATGTTCTGTGGTAACTGAGTACCAAAAATGTAATGTATAGGAGTGAAATTGACATTTTAAGATTCAATGATTGCTTACAGTCCTTGTCTTTATGTTGAGCATCTGTGGTTTTATTTTTTTACTATTTGTTGAACCGTTTACTTAGTGTAAGGTTAATCTTATGAGTATAAAGTAAACTGAAAGTAGATCATCGTAAAAAGAATAAAAGAAGAAAGAGGAGGAGTGGTGGGAGCATGGGTAGAAGGAACAGTAGGGTGGAAAGTATCACTATATTCCTAAATATGTATATATCATATTTCATGTATACTCATATACATGAAATTTAACTATAATAAAATATTAAAATGATTATGTGGGTGAGAATTATTGATTTAAAGAATATTAAATATTAATACAAGATAACAAACTATAGAATATGTCAGGATATAAGTAGCATAAAAATCAAATAGACTTAGGAATTGGCATTTTATTTTTCTGAAGAATTATCAAAATGAATAAAGAGTATGGGGCTTTCAATTGCATAGGGTTCACTCTATGTTGATAACAGAGGTAGAATAAATAACCACAAGAGCGCAGAAATTTGCTTTTTGAATATCAGTTCATATAGCTCACTATTCCTTAGAACTCTATGAAAAAGGTTAATATTACTTTACCCTCATAGTTGATAAAGTTGAAGTTCAAATACAGTAAATGGGTGGCAGAGTGCTAGGTTACCCATGAACGTAGGTTTTGAATTCCTGCTCCTGTGTGTGCCTTACTGTACTACAGGTGCCTTGCTGGAAATGAGCTCCTCAAGCTTTCAGGATGTATTTTTGTGTAGTTTTACCGTCACAGAAATACTGCAAAGGGCAAAGCAAAACAGGCCAGCTTGAGTCTCAGCCAAAAACATTGGTGGGCCAGCTGCATCTTTTTTCTTCTTCTCCAGAATTAAAAGCAACAAGAAACCTCTGTGATGATGGCAGGTGGGCAATCTAGTTATTTTGCAATTAGCAAAGTTTAAAGGATGCTTTCTGAAAAATGTGCCAAGAGGCCTAAATTATTGGTTTTATACTAATCTGTGTAATCTATTATTCTCTGATTTATTTTTAGCTGAATCTGTTTTTCAGATGACTGGATTGCACTTAATGCTTTGATTCAATATTGAAGCATCTGCATAAATAATTTAAAATTAGGTTACAGTGATTGTGATGTAAATAATGAAAATTTTCAATACATTCAAAGTTAAGCTAGAAAAATACTGGACAAAGTCGTAATCTTTGGCATCTCTCCCAACCACCTTGATTTTTTTTTAATTAAATTTATATTTATTTGTAAAGGAAAGAGAGAGATATTCTTCTATCCACTGCCATTCTGAAAGGCTCTATTTCAGGTCTTCTGTGAGAATGGCAGGAACCCATGTACTTGCACTGTCATCTGCTACCTCCTAGGGTATATATTAGCAGAAAGCTGGAATCAGAAACAAGGCTGAGACTAGAAACAAGAAAATCCAATATGAACTCAGACATCCAAAGCAATGTCTTAACTGCTGAGTCAAGCACCTGCCCTCAACAACTTTATTTATTTATTTATTTATTTATTTATTTATTTATTTATTTATTTATTTTGACAGGCAGAGTGGACAGTGAGAGAGAGAGACAGAGAGAAAGGTCTTCCTTTGCCATTGGTTCACCCTCCAATGGCCGCCGCGGCCGGCACACTGCGGCTGGCGCACCGCGCTGATCTGATGGCAGGAGCCAGGTACTTATCCTGGTCTCCCATGGGGTGCAGGGCCTGCAACTTTATTTTAATACCACTTTTCTTTATACAACATCCTGTATAATGGAGGCTTGCAACAATCAATACAGAAACGTGAATTCAAATTCAGTTTGTAGAGTCTCTTTAATCTCATTTTCCCAAGTGAAAATTAGAGTAACACTGCTTAATATTTGGGTACTTTGTGTATAATTTTGAATACATGTGAAATATCTGGTAGCTAGGTAACCTGAATCGAACTAACTGCATCTAAAGAGATTATAAAGAATATTTAGAAAGAGTTCAACTACCCTCTGTTTAAGCATACAAAACAAAAATGGAGCAAATAGCATTATTACTGAACATTAGACAAAAGAATAAGTTTAACCTAACAGAAAAAAAAATCATCTCACTGGGAGCCAGTTTTGCGGCACATGGAGTAAAGCTACCACCTGCAATGCTGGCATCCTGTATGGGCCCCTGTTTGAATGCCAGCTGCTCCAAATCTGGTCCAGCCCCCTGCTAATGTGCCTGGGAAAGCAGCAGAAGATGGCTTAAGTGCTTGGG